TATCATGACTTATATCATATATTAATAACTCGAATGTATTTTTTAATAATAAGTTGAAGGCATATTGTGATATTGGGCGTAAAGATCAGACTTTTTTAAAACTTTATGGTATATCAAAAGATGATGTTTCTAAATGTTTGATTTTTGTTATGGAATTTACAATAATGGGCGCTTTACGTGAAAATCTTTATGCTATATCACAAATGGATTGGGAAAAGAAATTAATTCTATTGAATTACATTGCTTCGGATCTTCATATAATACATTCCCAAGATCTTATTCATCGAGATTTACATAGTGGAAATATACTGTTAAATAGCTTTTACAGTGCACATATTACAGACTTAGGACTTTCAAAACTAGCAAATATAGGATCAAAAGATAAATTATATGGTATAGTACCATATATTACACCTGAAGTATTACACGATACAGTATATAGTAAAGCATCAGATGTATATTCTTTTGGTATCATTGCAAATGGCATATCATGATATTCCATACGACGGCTTGCACTTGTCACGTAAAATTTACAGTGGTTTGCGTCCAAGCATTCCAAAACATATACCAAAGTTAATTGATGAATTGATTAATAAATGTTGGAGAGCTAAATCAAACTAAGGCCTACTGCTAAAGAAATAAAAGACATTATAAGTACTTGGTGCAATTATATTACAAACAAAGAATCAAATGAATTCACTGCACAAATAAAGGAAACTGATGATTTAATATCCAACACACCAGTTTCATTTAACTCTAACATTCATCCTGTAATAATTTATAACAGCAAACAATTCGACTGTCTATCATCAACGTTTCAACGTTGTTGACATCAACATCAACGTTTCAACGTTGTTGACACTCTACTATTTGGCATATTCCGTCACTAATTATTTTATAAGCAGGACGGTCATAATAAAAATACCTGCGAAGCAGATATTTTTATTATAACCGTTCTGCTTTTTTAAAAAATTAGTGACACGAAGTGTCAAAAAAAAAAAATTTAAAAATTTTTTTAAAAGAAAGGATGAAAGGGAGGGAGGGACAGGGAA